CCACAGAGACCCACAGTTACCCACAGAGACACATAGAACCCACAGAGCCCCATAGAAACCGACAGAAACCGATAGAGACCCATAGAAACCCACAGAGACCCACAGAGACCCATAGCGACCCACAGATACCCACAGAGATCCATAGAACCCCACAGAGACTCATAGAGACCAACAGAGACGCACAGATACTCATATAGAACTACAGATACCCATAGAGACCCATACTAGAACGAAACTATTTTATTGTTACCAGGTAAGGCCCCACTCTGAGACGCGACCCTGACGACCACGTGGGATCATCAGCATCAGCATCATCCTAGATTTGAAGTTTTCGTGACTGCAGCGATCCATACTCTTTGGTTCTTTCGGTAAAGTCACGTAGGGAGAAAAAACAAAATAAAATTAACAAAACACAAAGATTAAATAAAAAATTAAAATTAAAAAAAATAATATTTTGATTTAAAGCTTTCGTGACTGCAGTAATTCATATTCTTAGCTCTTTCGGTAAAGTCACGTTGAAGGGAAACAATAAAATAATAAAATATATATAACAATAAAAAAAATTCTCACGACGTTTCGACCATAACACAAACGGTCGTCATCAGGTGTGTCGGTTTGCATTTATTTATTTATTTATAAACGGTGTATTTACTTATTTTTTAAAAACGTCAGCGCCACGCGCAGCGATTTGGCAGTTTATTTAGAAGGACGAGTCCATCTATGTTCTGAAAAGAGGAGGGGGGAGACGAAAAATTAATGTATGCTGTCTGAAAGCCACCGTAAGCGTGAACAATCAATTAAGACCTGAAATTGTTAATCAAATCTTTCCAATGATTGCTAAGCCAGAATCCATCTTCTCGGTTGAAATTGTCTCTGTGCTTGTAAATGTGGATAGCCTCATGAACGAATCTCTCATGGTAGCCAGATGGCTTACAAAGAACCTCTGTCTTGGAAAAGTCAATGTCATGTGAGCCTACTGAATTATAACAATGATCTGCCACGGCCGAGGTGTTGGTCCTACCGTGTTTAAGGTCTGCTTTATGTTCACCGTTTAAAAAAAAAAATACAAACCGCCACTTCTTTCAAATGTTTTTGCCGTTGGTTTTTCACACCTGATGACGACCGTTTGTGTTATGGTCGAAACGTCGTGAGAATTTTTTTTATTGTTATATATATTTTATTATTTTATTGTTTCCCTTCAACGTGACTTTACCGAAAGAGCTAAGGATATAAAAAAAAAAAATATGCTTTATACCTACGTGACTTTACCGAAAGAACCAAAAGAGTATCGGCATCATCATCGCGTGGAAATTCATAGCAGCGGCGGCAGCAGCCACATACTCTCACATGCGTGACTGTCGATTCTAGAACAGGGGTGGGCACATTTTTTGACTCGCGGGCCACAATGGGTTCTAAAATTTGACAAGAGGGGCCGGGCCAGGAACAGATGGATGGAGTGTTTGTGTGAACTAATATAAATTACATGTAAAAAATCATTACTTGAAAGGATTTGGCCCTTAACAGGTAGCAAAGCATTTATTTGCAAGGCAATTTAACAAATTGCACGAACATGAACAATACAAAAACACCGTCGTAGCGTGACTGATCAAACATCGTGAAAACATCTGAGGCCTGCGCCCAAAGCAATGGCCTCACTTGAACGTCTTTATGATCTACATGAACAGGTTGGAGCAGTCACGCAGGCTGTGTGTCGGAGATTTGGCTCCAACCTCGCTGCGGCAACGCATCATCACTGTCAGTTTCAGTGGGAACGGCGTTGTTGATCGCCCATTGTTGCCAGTGCATCCAAGTCTGGATTATTTTGCCCGTGGCAATTCTCAGAATAGATCTGAGGCGCTGATCCGTTAACTCTGATCTGCGACGGCCCACAATGCATTGCGAGATCACGTGCCCTTTCGAGCCCTATGCACCAAACTGCCGGTCAAAGTGCGCCATCTAATGGGGAAATGGGGGGCATTACAGGAGAAAGGTAAAATTTTATTTAACAATAATAATAATAATGTTTGGACGAATATTCTTAGTTTTTTCGGTAAAGTCACGTTGAAGGGAAACAACAAAATAATAAAATATATATAAAACAATAAAACATTCTCACGACGTTTCGACCATAACACAAACGGTCGTCTTCAGGTGTGTTGGTTTGCATAAATTTATTTTTAAACGGTGCATTTATTTATTTATAAAAACGTTAGCGCCACGCGCAGCGATTTGGCAGTTTATTTAGGACTAGTCCATCTATATTCTGAAAAGAGGAGGGGGGAGACGAAATGTTTTATAATGTATGCTTTCTGAAAGCCACTGTAAGCGTGAACAATCAATTAAGACCTGAAATGGTTTATCAAATCTTTCCAATGATTGCTAAGATAGAATCCATCTTCTCGGTTGAAATTGTCTCTGTGCTTGTATATGTGGATTGCCTCATGAACGAATCTCTCAAGGTAGCCAGATGGCTTACAAAATTTAAATCAAAATTTAATATTTGGACGAGTTCGGCGGGCCGGATTAAAAAGCACAACTGGCCGTGTACATCCCGGGGGGCCAGAACTTTACCCGTGTCTGAGCTAGAACGTGGTGGACGGGTGAATAGCCGCAGGTCACCTGCGAAAATGAAACGCTGCTGGAAACGTCCACGCGGCTACGATGATGACGACGATCCCTCGTGGTCGAGATGCGATCATTCAGGGGCGGAGCCAGGATTTTGACTTTGGGGGGGGGGGGGGGGGGGGCTGACTTCAACGTTCTGAGATATCTCAGCGTGTAATGTTTTCCAATGGGCGTCACAAACGTATAAAACACATTTTATTGGATTTCAACGCGGAGTTCATGAACAGTGGCGACTAAGTTCGAAAGGCTGCCGCTCAAGCAGCCTACAGGGCAGCACAAGGTGGCAGCCTGCAGCGTTTTGCAAAAACCGGATATCTGGCTATCCCGACTTTCCCAAAATTTCAGGGGCGGCTGGGCCTCCCCCCCAGCCCCCCCCACCCCCCCCCCCCCCGTGACTCCACCCCTGCGATCATTTGTGATGACCAGGAACAGGAAGCACCTGGTCACAATAAAACATCGTGAGGCCTCTCACCATTAAACCACCCACAGTCTCACGCTGCCGTGAGCCATCCCCAAGGTCGACTCAGCCTTCAAATGAGTTACCTGGTGTAGCGGTGCGTAGTGAACATCGCCACTGGGGAGACAAAGGCGGCCGGGCGTGGTGCTGCCCACCCACCCCCTCGTGTGCCGTTCCGGCCTTCGTAGGTGCTGCTCGCTAACAGCACTTGCCCCTCCAGTCTGTTACAGGCTACACGGGGGCTCTTTGTCTTTGTTCTCGGCGTCGATTGGCTGTCACCCCAGTGCACTCGCTGACCTCACAATCAATGCGATGTCACGCGTGTCCCTCTGCCCGCCTCTCCGTGCGAACTTTAATCGATGATCGATGATACCGATAATCACACGGCGACTGCCACTGGGAGGGTAGCAGAGTCAGGGATGCAATGCGTGGGGGGAAATGAACAAAGGAACGGGAGAGAGGTGAGAGAGGATGGGAGAGGACGGGAGATGAGAGGTGAAGAATGGAGAAGGAATCTTGACTTAAAGCTCTCGTGACTGCAGGGATTCATATCCGTGGTTCTTTCGGTAAAGTCACCACCACGTAGATGGGGAAACAATAAAATAATAAAAATATAAAACAATACAATTATCACGACGTTTCGACTGCAACACAAGCAATCATCATCAGGTGTAAAAACCACAGCAAGAACAATTTGAAAAAAGTGGCGTTTTTTTTTCTAACGTTAGCACCACGGAGAGCGATTTGGCAGTTGTTCAGATGGACGAGTCCATTCTCTTCCTCTCCCCCCTCCTCTTTTCCGAACACAGATGGACTCTGATTTAAAGCTTTCATGACTGCAGGGATTCATATTCTTGGTTCTTTCGGTAAAGTCACGTAGATAGGGAAACAATAAAATAATAAAAAAATATAAAACAATAAAATTATCGCGACGGTCGAAACGTCGTGAGAATTTTATTGTTTTATATTTTTATTATTTCATTGTTTCCCTTCTACGTGGTGACTTTACCGAAAGAACCAAGAATAATAATTTTATTGTTTTACAATAATTTAATTGTTTTATTTTTTTATAATTTTATTGTTTCCCTTCTACGTGGTGACTTTACCGAAAGAACCAAGAATAATAATTTTATTGTTTTACAATAATTGTATTGTTTAATGTTTTTATTATTTCATTGTTTCCCTTCTACGTGGTGACTTTACCGAAAGAACCAAGAATAATAATTTTATTGTTTTACAATAATTTTATAGTTTTCTGTTTTTATTATTTCATTATTTCCTTTCTACGTGGTGACTTTACCGAAAGAACCAAGAATAATAATTTTATTGTTTTACAATAATTTTATTGTTTTATGTTTTTATTATTTTATTGTTTCCCTTCTACGTGGTGACTTTACCGAAAGAACTAAGAATAATAATTTTATTGTTTTACAATAATTTTATTGTTTTATATATTTTTATTATTTTATTGTTTTCCTTCTACGTGGTGACTTTACCGAAAGAACCAAGAATAATAATTTTATTGTTTTATATATTTGTATTATTTTATTGTTTTCCTTCTACGTGGTGACTTTACCGAAAGAACCAAGAATACCAAAGGATAGTGGAGAAGGAGCAGAGAGATGCCGTGGGGCTGCAGGAGAAATGAGTTGAGGGAGGAGCGAGAGACGATGCCCGGGCCTCGACGATGCTTCTGCTGCACGGAGGAGGAGGATGAGCGGAGTCTGTTTTCACAGCGGGCGGTGGAGAGAGGGGGAGGGGTTCATGGTGGGCGTGGCCACGCAGACGTCACGTGATCCGCAGGAGGCTTGAGCTGGTTTATAGTACAGACGTTATGTATTGTAGATGTTCAACTCTAGACCGCGTACATTGGCAACTTAACTTTCGTTCGTCAACTTCCTTTGCCCCCGCCTCACAGATCTCGGCAGTCGTCACAGCGACAGCGACAGCAGCAGCAGCAGCAGCAGCAAAGCCACGGACGGGTGAAGCGTTCCCCTCAAGTCCTAAAAGCCTGAAGATGACCCCGTAGCTGGGACACGGAGCTGTGCTTAGAGCCGGAGCGTCTGTCTGTGCGTGCGTGCGTGTGTGTGCGTGCGTGCGTGCACGTGCGTGTGTGTGTGTGCGCGTCTTATACTCCCAGACTCTTGGGTGCACTGACGAGGGGGAGATGGAGGAGGCTCCGTAGGCCAAACTCGACACCCACACCCACCCCCATCGTGGACAATGTCCCCGTAGGGTTTGGGAACCCCCCACAGCGCCGATAACGATCACCGCCGCCGCCGTCGTGGTGGGAAGGGATACGAACAACGCCACATTACGGTTTTGTTTTAATAACAATTTTTATTTTTAATCGTAACACATCCCCATGAGCCGCAGAGGGTGCGGCTCCTAGGGGAGCGCAAATCATCTCAGGGGGCCTTGACCCTCAGGACGAGCGACGACTCCGCTCCCGGTTGTTCGACCGGCCGGCGTCTGCCTGCGAGGTCTGAACCTTGGGCGGGGTCGCCGGCAGACAGAGAGGCCGGCGGGGTAGGAAAAGGCCGGATCGTAATCAACGCACGGTAAACCCCGCGTCATCGCCCCGCCCCCACCCACCCCCCTAGCGGGGCAGCTGAGGGCCCGAATCTTCGATCGCGTGTCGAGACATCGGGGTCGAGGTCCGACGAGCCGCGCGCCTCCCGGACACAGCGGGGTAAAGCGAAATCCTCGCGATCGTGGCCCGATGCTGTTAACATGATGGACCCTGAGACAGGAGGCCGGGGAGCCTTCCCGTGAATTAAATCATTCCCATCGTCAAGAACATTCCACCATTTCTGGAGCAATGAGCTACAACGCTCGCGTGTATATATAGAGAGAAGATAAGCGGTCACCTAGGACTGACCAAACCAAAAAAACCCCTTCGATCTTAGAGAAACCGTTCAGAACTTTCCAAACCAAAACCCCCTTCGATCTTAGAGGAAATCTTGGAGAACTGACCAAACCAAAACCCCCTTCGATCTTAGAGGAAATCTTGGAGAAGTGACCAAACCAAAACCCCCTTCGATCTTAGAGGAAATCTTGGAGAAGTGACCAAACCAAACCCCCTCCGATCTTAGAAGAAACCGTTCAGAACTTACCAAACCAAAACCCCCTTCGATCTTAGAGGAAATCTTGGAGAACTGACCAAACCAAAACCCCCTTCGATCTTAGAGTAAATCTTGGAGAACTGACCAAACCAAAACCCCCTTCGATCTTAGAGGAAATCTTGGAGAAGTGACCAAACCAAAACCCCCTTCGATCTTAGAGGAAATCTTGGAGAACTGACCAAACCAAAACCCCCTCCGATCTTAGAGAAACCGTTCAGAACTTTCCAAACCAAAACCCCCTTCGATCTTAGAGGAAATCTTGGAGAAGTGACCAAACCAAAACCCCCTCCGTCTTAGAAGAAACCTCTTCGCCCGCAAACATGAATTGGGGCGGCCTGCAGTCGGTGCTGAACGACGTGAACAAGAACTCGACGGCCATCGGGCGCGTCTGGCTGTCGGTGCTCTTCATCTTCCGGCTGCTCGTCCTCGTGGTGGCGGCCGAGAAGGTGTGGTCCGACGAGAACAAGGACTTCGACTGCAACACGCGGCAGCCGGGCTGCAAGAGCGTCTGCTACGACCGCTTCTTCCCCATCTCGCACATCCGCTTCTGGTCGCTGCAGCTCATCGTGGTGACCACCCCGACGCTGCTCGTAGCCATGCACGTGGGCAGCCGCAAGATGCGCTCGAGGCACCACCACTTCCCCGAGGGATTCGAGAACAAGATCCAGGGCGGCCTGCTCTGGACCTACACCATCAGCGTGCTCTTTCGGGTGAGCGGCCAGGCCACGGGGTTCGATCGGGCTGTTTGTTGCGCGTCTCCATGCTTCTTGATGGGTCTCTTTGTGTCTCTTACTTGTCTCTGTGGATCTCCACGTATCTCTACGAGTCGCTACGTGTCTCTGTGGATCTCTACGTATCTCTACGAGTCTCTATGTATCTCTATGGGTCTCAATGTATCTCAATGGGTCTGTGTGGGTCTCTGTGTGTCTCTGTGTATCTCGGCGTGCCTCTAAACACCTACATGCGTCTCTGTGTATCTCTGTGGGTCTCTAGGTATCTCTGTGTATCTCTATGGGTCTCTGTTTATCTCTACGTATCTCTATGTATCCCTGTGCATCTCTACGGGTCTCTGTGTCGTCCGGCTGCGTCGACCATTCCCCCTCGTCCTCGTGGCTCAAGCGCCGGGAGCATGCCCGGAGTTACACCGGGAGTCGGGAAAACCGGGGAATATCGGGAAAGAGACATTCGCCCCAAATCTTTTGCAGAGACTCCTCCCCCCCCCCCCCCCCCGCGCGCAATGATCGGACTTTGAAACTCGACGTTTCGTTACCGCGACCTCTACACTAAAACGATACAAAAATAAACTAATTTTTTATTGTCACCGGGTGTAAGGCCCCCACCACTGAGCTGCTGTGTAGGTGCAGCTCTTGTTCAGAGGCGACCCTGGCCAACCACGTGGGCTTCATCGTCATCATCATCATCACGCGGACATTTATAGCAAGAGCCAAATACTTAAAGCGCGTGACGTTCATTCTAAATGTCCATGCGACCACCATGGGGAGAGAGACACACAGACTCCAAATCTACAGCAGCAGGCATCGTCAGGGTGGGGATCGAACCCACGACCTCCTTCACACAAGGCGAGGTAGTCAACATCTCCTAGCCACCGTGATGATGATGATGATGATGAGAGAGAGAGTTGATGGTGTGGTGCTGCCGCTGTTCCTCCTCCTCCTCTGTTGAAGGAACGCAGACCCAGTGGTAGTGGTATTAAAGGTGGTGGTGGCGGCGGTGGTTGCGGTGGTGGCGGCGGAAGTGGTGGTGGTGGTGGTGGTCGTGGTGGTGGTGGTGGTGGTAGAGGTGGTGGTGGTGGCGGTAGTGTTGGCGGTGGTGGTGGTGCAGGTGGTGGTGGTGGTGGTGGTGGCGGTGGTGGTAGTGGTGGTGGTGGTGTTGGTGGGACGGTGGTGATGGTGGTGGTGGTGGTGTTGGTGGGACGGTGGTGATGGTGGTGGTGGTGTTGGTGGGACGGTGGTGATGGTGGTGGTGGTGTTGGTGGGACGGTGGTGATGGTGGTGGTGGTGTTAGTGGGACGGTGGTGGTGGTGTTGGTGGGACGGTGGTGATGGTGGTGGTGGTGTTGGTGGGACGGTGGTGATGGTGGTGGTGGTGTTTACAAAGTGGCCGCAGTCACGGCGCGTTCCATCGCCCCAGGGCGGTCCAAATTCCCTGATGGGTTCCATGGCGCACAGTGGACAGGTCGGGGCAGGAGAACAAGGAGGCGATGGACCTGGCTTGCAAACCACAAATATGCGGCACTAGTTACAAATCATTATTTTTTGTTTGCCAGGTAAGACCCATACAAACCCACAGAGACCCATAGAGACCCACAGAGACCCATAGAGACAGACAGAGACCCATAGAGACCCACAGAGACCCATAGAAACCCACAGAGACCCATATAGCCCGACAGAGACCCATAGAGACCCACAGAGACCCATAGCGACCCACAGAGACCCATAGAGACCCATAGTACCCCAAAGAGACCCATAGAGACCCACAGAGACCCATAGAGACCCACAGAGACCAATAGAGACCCACAGAGACCCACAGAGACCCACAGAGACCCACATAGACCCATAGAGACCCACAGAGACCCATAGAGACCGACAGAGACCCATAGAGACCCACAGAGACCCATAGCGACCCACAGAGACCAATATAAACCCACAGAGACCCATAGATACCCATAGAAATCCAAAGAGACTTATAGAGACCCATAGAGACCCATAGAGACCCACATAGACCCATAGAAACCCACTGAGACCCGTAGAAACCCACAGAGACCCATTGAAACCCATACAGTCCCACAGAGACCCACAGATATCCATAGAGACCCACGGAACCCACAGAGATCCATAGAAATCCATAGAGACCCATGGCGACCCACAGAGACCCACAGATACGCATAGAGACCCATGGCACCCACAGAGACCCAAAGAGACCCATAGAGACCCACAGAGGTCCACAGATACCCATAGATACCCACAGAGACCCATGGAACCCACAGAGACCCATAGAGACCCATAGAGACCCACAGATACCCATAGAGACCCATGGAACCCACAGAGACCCATAGAGACCCATACAGTCCCACAGAGACCCACAGATACCCACAGAGACCCATAGAGACCCATAGAGACCCACAGAGATCCACAGATACCCATAGAGACCCATGGAACCCACAGAGACCCAAAGAGACCCATAGAGACCCACAAATACCCATAGAGATCCATGGAACCCACAGAGACCCATAGAGACCCATACAGTCCCACAGACACCCACAGAGACACATATAACCCACAGAGACCCGCATAAACCCACAGAGACCCGTAGAAACCCACATAGACCCATAGAAACCCACAGAGACCCATAGAGACCCAGACAGACTCATAGAGACACATAGAAACCCACAGAGACCCATAGAGATGCACAGATACCCATAGAGACACACAGAGACACATACTAAAACTAAACTTTTATTTGACCAGTTAAGGCCCCTACTGAGCTGCTGTGTAGTCGCTCTTCATCAGAAGCGAGCCCAGCCATCACAAACGACAGCGCAACGGAGCGGCGCATCGCGACGTGGACATCGACAGCAGACAGCCATGCACTCCAAACGCGCGGTGACGTTGATTCTAAGCATGGAGGAAAAAGCCGGAGAACCCGGAGATAAATCCACGTGACCACGGGGAGAGAGAGAGAGAGAGACGCAAACTCTACATATACAGCAGCGGCAGGCATCGTCAGGGTCGGGATCGAACCCACGACCTCCTGCACACCAGGCGAGGTAGTCAACATCTCCTCGGCATCGTGATGATGATGAGAGAGAGAGAGACACTCAAACTCCAAATATACAGCAGCAGGCATCATCAGGGTCGGCATCAAACCCAAGACTTCCTGTACACCAGGCGAGGTAGTCAACATCTCCTAGCCACCGTGATGATGATGATGAGAGAGACGCAGACTCCGAATATCCAGCGGCAGGCATCGTCAGGGTCGGGATCAAACGCACGACTTCCTGCGTACGAGGCGAGGTAGTTAACATCCTTCTACCCCCACCTACCCCCTCACCCCCTCCTACTCCCAGATCATCTTCGAGACGGGCAGCCTGTACATCTTCTACATCCTCTACGGGGGCTACTCGCTTCCGCGCCTCGTCAAATGCACCGAGGAACCGTGTCCCAACATCGTCGACTGCTTCGTGTCGCGCCCCAGCGAGAAGACGGTCTTCGTGGTCTTCATGCTCACCGTGTCGGCCATCTGTCTCCTCCTCAACGTCATCGAGTTCTTCTACCTCGCCATAAAGTACTTCTGCGTGCGCAAGCGTTACCGCAGGACCGTCACGGAGCCACGCGCCTCCATGGTCGGCGGCAGTTCCGGCAACCCGGCCGGTAAGGGACAGGCAGACTGTGTGTGTGTGTCTGTGTGTGTGTGTCTGTGTGTGTGTGTCTGTGTGTGTGTCTGTGTGTGTGTGTCTGTGTGTATGTGTGTCTCGAGGTGCTGGACGGGCAACTCTGTTGTGGACAATGCTGTGGGGGGAGGGCCAATTCCGATTGCCTCCTCCCCTCATGGCGTCTGTGACCACCACAGGGGCTAAATGGGGGCTCTGGACGGGTCCCAGGGGCTGGTAACCCCTCCACCTTCAAAAATTTACCACTAAACCACGTCTAAAATATCTAACTAATAAGCTTGTGCCGGAGGCCCCGGGGGCACAGGCGTCTATGACGTCTCCTGGCCAAACCCCAATTGGCGGAACCAGGAGATTGAATCTCTACCCTCGGGGCTCCTCCAGAAACAACGAAAAGCCACTTCGTGTGGCCACGTGGAACGTTTGAACGCTCACTGCGGAGGAGAGGCTGCCACTCCTCTCTCGGGAGCTGGACCGGTACCGCCTGGATCTGTGGCATTCAGGAGGTCCGGTGGACTGGTTCTGGCTCCTGCCACCATGAGGGGTGGACAGTCCTCTACTCAGGGCAGCAGTCTGCCAAACAACAGGGTGTGGCTCTTCTTTTGAACAAAAGAATGAAGGGGGCATGGGAGCGTGGCGGTGAGGTGTGGGAAGCTGTAAGCCCCAGGCTACTTTGGGCTCGCCTTCCCATCAACCAGAGGCGAGGAGTGGTGGTCGTGGTTACTTATGCCTCCACAGAAGACGAACATCCGTGAAGGGATGCAGGCAAAGCCGAATGAGTCAGATGCCTTCTATGACCTCCTGTCACAGGTGCTGGCTAAAGTGGCCCCTCGGGATAGTCATCTTGTTGGGTGACTTCAATGCCCGAGTTGGTCATGATGCTGGCACCTGGTCTGGAGTGATTGGAGGGCATGGGCCAGATCAGCTCAATAACAACGGTAGGAGGCTGCTAGATTTTTGTGCAGCCCATGGGCTTGTAATTACCAACACGCTGTTCCGGCATCGGCGCAACCACACAACATCATGGATGCATGCCGGGTCCAAGCAAGAACATCTGCTGGACTACATCGTGACGGACCAGCGGATGGGAGCCCATGTCATTGACACCAGGACCTACCGTGGAGCTGATCTGCCCTCTGACCATCGACTTGTCATCTGTAAGATGCGCCTGCCATTCTTCCACTCCGGTGGTGAGTGTACACCCAGGACCCCATTCCAACCTAAAGTGGCCTGGTCTCAGTTATCTTATGAAAGTTGCAAGCAAGAATTTCATCATCGCTTGCGGCTGGGGTTGGCATCGTCCCCCACTCCTCCTGATATCGAGGGTAAATGGGTGAGGTTTAGGACTGTGGCTCATGCAGCTGCAATGGCTGCTTTGGGTACGCGGTCCAGACCTCCCCAGAGACCCTGGCTGACAGAGAAGGTGTTCAGGATAGTTGAGAAAAAGCGACAGGCCCACTGTCATCGGCGACAGAATCCCACATCAGAGAATGAGGAGGCTTACCGCAGCCTTTGCTCGGAGGTTCAGAGAGCCGTGAGGTGCTGCAAGGATGGGTGGTGGTTGCGGGTTGCTGAGGAGATGAAGTCTGCCTCAGTGGCCCGCGATCACAAATCTTTATTTAACTCCATCAAAAAAGTAACCTGCAGCGCCACACCTATTACCATCATTAGGGGAAAAAACGGTGATCCAATCTCCGACCCCCAGGAACAGGTTTGCAGATTTGCTGAGCATTTCTGTGAGGTCCTGGGGGAGGGAAAATCCCTCAGCCAGGAAAACATCGTGGCACAAAGTGGGGATGACCCTGCTGAGGTTGCAGTGCCTCAAATATTGGAAGAAGTCACCCCCTGTGTTTGGCTGGCTGAGGTGCCATCCGTTGAGGAAGTACTGAAGGCGATCCGGAGTCTGAGACCAGGAAAGGCAGCGGACAGAGATGATCTCCCAAGCAAAATGCTGAGGGAGGGTGGCGTTTGTGCACAGACTGCCCTACATGACATCATAACAAGAGTCTGGACCATTGGACGGGTTCCGCAGGATTGAAAGGATGCCCTGGTGGCCCCCCTCTTAAAGAAGGGGGACCGCACAGATTGTAACAACTACAGGGTAATTTCACTCCTCAGTGTGCCGGGAAAGGTTCTGGCAAGGATTATTCAACATCGCCTTGCCAGGCACGCTGAGGAGAGGCTTGCGGAGCCCCAATGCGGTTTCAGGAAAGGGCGGTCCTGCACAGATGCCATATTTTCTGTCCATCTGCTACAGCAGAGGTGTAGGGAATTCCAGCAAGACCTACATCTCTGCTTTATTGACCTGGTCAAGGCCTATGATACCATCAGTAGGCCTGGGCTCTGGGTTGTTCTTCGTTCTTTTGGAGTCCCTGACTCTCTGCTCACGATCATTAAGGACCTTCATGATGGTGAGCGGGCCCGGGTAAAACTACGTGGCCGGGAGTCAGAGCCATTCCCTGTACACCTTGGGGTGCGACAGGGATGTTCTCTGGCTCCCACATTATTTAACATCTATTTTGACCACGTAGTTCGTGAAGCCTTCAATAGCTGTACCGGGGGAATCTCCATATGGTACAGATACAATGGGAGGCTGATCGATGCCCGGGTGCGGTCAAGGGATGGCTCCCTATTGCTCAACCACGTTATGTATGCCGATGATTTGGTAATAGCTGCTCATTCAGAGGAGTTGGAGACGCTGCTGCTGAGACTGGAGCGTGCCACTAACAGATAGGGCCTTACCATCAGCCCCACCAAAACTAAGCACCTGCCTGGGTATTTTGTATCATCGGACACTCCACCCCCACATCTCCCAATCAGTGATGGGGCAGTTGTGGAAAGAGTAGAGAGTTTCCCATACCTGGGCAGTGTGCTTATAACCGGCTCCAGTTTAACAGCAGAGGTCTCACTCCGAATCAGTCGAGCGGCAATATCTTTTCATCGGTTGCGTAATGCTGTGTGGAAGCTACCTGGTCTGTCGCTTCGCACGAAGCTTCGGGTCTTCTCGGCCACAGTCATTCCCTCCCTTCTCTACACTTGCGAAACGTGGACCCCCCTTATGGGACATCTTCGCCGGTAAGAAACATTTAGGCTAGCCTGTCTACGATCCATCCTGGGTTTAACCAGGCTGGATTGTGTGAGGAGCTCACAAATCCTTGAAAGATCTGGGCAAAGTCCCATCCGTGAGCTCCTCCGGCAGGCAAGGCTGCGTTGGCTGGGTCATGTAGCCCGCATGCCCAGCCACCGCATGCCTAAACAACTTTTGTTCGGCCGGATCGAGAGGGCTTAACGGGCGCGGCACGGGGTAGAGAAGAGATGGAGTGATGTGGTACAGGAGGACGTGGAGCTAAGTGGACTTGCCGATGACTGGTACCAGCGGTGTCAAGATCGGCCTCTGTGGAGGAGGCTCGTGAAGGACGCTGCTACTGGGCAGTTGGAGGCAGTCGCCCTCCAACAACAACGGAGGGTGGAGGAGCGACGCTCACAACAACGAGTGGAGCGCCGGGTGGCTAAAGCACAGTAGGTTGGCACAGTAGGGGGCACAGGTGGTGCATCAGCCAGTCATTTCAGTCAGTCGACCCATGGCACCTGGGTCTGCCCCGTGACCTCCTGCCAGCGGGCGTTCGACACTCCACGTGGCCTCAAGGTGCACATAGCCTGGCACAATCGTCGTGGTGACGTCACCGCCACTTAGTGGCGAATGGCGGTTGTTGTTGTTGTCTGTGTGTGTGTCTGTGTGTGTGTGTGTGTTGGGGGGAGCGGCAGCGTAGTGGTCCGCGCTACGCTGCGCTTCGAACCTGGCGACCCGAGTTCGATTCCCGCTCATGGCCAACACCCAGTGACGATTATCCGAACAGGTCACGGGCCACCCCTAGGTCGACTCAGCTCAAAATAAGTTACCTGGTGTAGCGGTGCGTAGTAAACATCGCCACTGGGAAGACAAAGTCGGTCGGGCGCCGTGCTGCTGGCCACCCACCCCCTCGTGTGTGCCACAGCGCTGGTAGCCTTCACAGGCGCTGCTCGCTACTAACAGCACTTGCCCCGACAGTCTGTCACAGGCTACACGGGGGACCTTTGCCTTTGTTGATGCCGGCCTTCACGCTCCACTGCTGCCTGGTCACAGCGCTTGCCCCGACGGTCCGCTCGAGGCTAACCCTGCGGAACCTTTTCCTTTCGTCTCTCCGCCGCAGGCGTCAAGTCGACGCGGGTCAAGGGTCCCGCCCGGAACGTCGCGGATGTCCACGCCGAGGGCAGCGGGGACGACAGCGCCTCGAGTCGCGAGCACAGCAAGGAGAATCGCGCCAACCTGAAGCGGGAGGCACCGTCCAAGCCGAATGGCATCCTCAAGAAATGAGAACCCTGGGGGGAAGGGAGGGGAGAGGGGGGGTTGGGGGGGGAGGGGAGAGTAGACGGGGGGGAGGGGGGAGGAGGGGGGAGGGAGGGGGGGAGGAGGAATCTGATAATCTAAGAAGCTCTTTTTTGTTCACAGATGTCCAGCAAGGAGTGGGGGGGGGTGGAGTCAGAACGACGAACGGTACTAAAATACAAGAGTCTAAGGATAAACAACAAAAAAACTTCAAAAAAATAAAATTCAAGTAAACTAAACAAACATTTATAGATATATAAAGATATACGTGTGTGTGTGTAGTGGGTACAGAGGGAGAGCGAGGCTTCTTGGAGGCAACACGCTTATCAGTGTCGATTTGAAGCTTTCGCAACTGCATGAATCCATACTCTTTGGTGCTTTCGGTAAAATCACGAAGGTAGAAAATGTATTGATCACGACGTTTCGATCGCGACACCAAGCAATCATCATCATCATCAGGTGGCTGTGCCACCTGATGATGATGATGACGAGGTGGCACAGCCACCTGATGACGAGGTGGGAGGATTGCCCCTTTCGTGACGGCAATGTCGGGGCAACGTTGGTCTAACGTTGCCATGTGGTTGGACCAACGTTGGACCAACGTTGGACCAACGTTGCCATGTGGTTGGACCAACCTTGCCATGTGGTTGGACCAACGTTGCCATGTGGTTGGACCAACGTTCGATGTTTACTGCCAACAACCACCACCATCACTGTAGCTCACGGAACCTGCGCGCACCGCACCGCACCCGCCTGACGATTGGTCAACGTGGCCCGCGCATAAGCGCGTGGTGCACCTCCCCTACCTCGCGCGGTGCGGTGCCGCTCGGGGCAGAGAGCCACAGGCGACCGGGCGTGGTTGGTTGTGGCCTCCGTGTACCGTCCGTCCCGCTTCCGCTGTCCCGGCTTTCTCAAGCGCTGCTCGCAAGCGGCGCTTGGGCCCCAACACGGCTTATTGAGGCTACGCGGGCGAGGGATCTTCGTCTCTATGCGCGTGTCGCTGTACTAGGAAGCGAATGTGTAATAGGCGACGTTTCGGTGCAAGGGCCCTTCTTCTCCCACGGCACGTGAGCCCGCCGCGGCTGGCGGAGCGGTCTCGCGCAGTCGCTGCGAATGACCGATCCGTGACGATGAGCAAATAAAAACAACCCCTGGGTTACGGCAATGGATGTCATCGTGTGGACGTTTGTCTGACGGCAACAGCAACAGCAGCAGCAGCAACAGCGGTCTCCATTCGCCACTAAGTGTGCGGTGACATCACCACGGGGGCCTGTGCCGGGCTAGGTGCACTTTGAGGCTGCCACGTGAAGTGTCGAAGGCTCTCTGGCTGACAGGAGGTCACGGGACAGAGCCGGCAGGTGCCGTGGGTCGTCTGACTGAGATGACCGCGAGATGCACCACCACCAGCTGTACCCCCCCCCCTACTGTGCCAACCTGCTGCGTTTTAGCCACCCGGCGCTCTGCTCGTTGTTGTGAGTGTCGCTCCTCCGCCCTCCATTGTTGTTGTTGGAGGGCGACTGCCTCCAACTGCCCAGTAAGCAGCGTCCTTCACGAGCCTCCTCCTCCACAGAGGCCGATCTTGACACCGCTGGTACAGTCATCGGCAAGTCCACTCAGCTCCACATTCTTCCGTAATCGCATCATCTCCATCTCTTCTCTAGTCCGAGCCGCGCCCATTTCGCCCCCTCTTTGCGGCCAAACAGAAGCTGTTCAGGCACGCGGTGGCTGAGCATGCGGGCTACATGACCCAGCCTGCCGGAGGAGTTCGCCGATGGGACATTGTCCACATCTTTAAAGTATTTGTGAGTTCCCCACACAATCCAGCCTGGTTAAACCCGGGATGGGTCGTAGGCAGGGTCAGCATCGAACCTGCGACCTCCTGCGTACCAGGCGAGGTAGTTGACATTTCCTAAACACCGCGGCACCCAAATCAAAATCCCACAACTACAGTCGATCACGGGCCGCTGCTGCATCGACACTGGACCCAAATATTCTTTAGGTTTTTCGGTAAAGTCACGTGTCGATCACTAACACAAGCTATCGCTTGTGTTAGTCTATGGGCAGTGTTAGTCTATGGGCAGTGTTAGTCTATGGGCAGTGTTAGTCTATGGGTAGTGTTAGTGTATGGGTAATGTTAGTCTATGGGCAGTGTTAGTCTATGGGCAGTGTTAGTCTATGGGCAGTGTTAGTCTATGGGCAGTGTTAGTCTATGGGCAGTGTTAGTCTATCAGTGTTAGTGTATGGGCAGTGTTAGTCTATGGGTAGTGTTAGTGTATGGGTAATGTTAGTCTATGGGCAGTGTTAGTCTATGGGCAGTGTTAGTCTATGGGCAGTGTTAGTATATGGGCAGTGTTAGTCTATGGGCAGTGTTAGTCTATCAGTGTTAGTGTATGGGCAGTGTTAGTCTATGGGCAGTGTGGTTCTTCTTTCGTATAGCTGGTGTAGATGCAGATCAACAGCGACGTCATCACATTCACGTGGTGGTCAAGCCACAGAAAACTACGTCAGCAGGAGCAGTAGCGGAGTAGTGAATCATCGTCATCATCGTCATCATAATCGTCATCAGCATCGTCGTCATCATCGTCATCATCATTGTCATCATCGTCATCATCGTCATCATCATCATCGTCATCATCGTCATCATAATCGTCATCATCGTCATCATCGTCGTCGTCGTCATCATCAACATCGTCACCAGCATCGTCATCATCATCATCATCGTCATCATCATTGTCGTCATCATCATTATCGTCATCATCATCGTCATCATCATCATCGTCATCATAATCGTCATCATCGTCATAATCGTCGTCGTCTTCATCGTCATCATCATCGTCACCAGCATCGTCATCATCATCGTCGTCATCGTCGTCATCATCGTCGTCATCGCTGTGACGATGTCTCCTTCTTCGTCTTCGGAGGCATCGCGTCGCTACGCGTTGAGTCGCGGCAAGGCGTAGCCACGTGGTCAACATTGGGGGGTGGGGGGCACCAAATCTTCCAGGGGCTCTGGGGGTCCCAACCCAAAGTTTTTTTGAAAACTCATTTCCTGCCATTTCCTGCCTGAAATATCAAAAAAAATTCACGAACACATGGGGGCGGACTTTTTTATTTTTATTATTTTGTACAATAATGTCTAATGGTGTTATTGTATTTACATTGCTTTGTTTTTATTATTTTTTTACCTTTTTTTGATTCATTGTATGTAATGGCAGAGATTAGGGATTAATAAAGTACAACCACAAATTCATATTCTTAGCTCTTTCGGTAAAGTCACGTTGAAGGGAAACAATAAAATAATAAAATATATAAAGCAATAAAAAAAATATTTTCTTGTTTCCCTTCAACGTGACTTTACCGAAAGAGCTAAGAATAGAAATCTATGCGTTGATTTATATGAAGGCAAGTCCAGATATTGTGGCCAAGGTTTAGCAAATTGTTCTTCTTATTAACATAGCATAGCAATTTTTTTTTTATATATTTTTATAGCAATATATTGGTGGTGGGAGGGGGGGGGAGATGTTGAGCATATTTGAATATATATTATAATTATTCTAATTACGGCCTTGGTACGATGCATTGTCTTTGACACTGATTGCTCCACACCAGAGGCAACTTTCTTGTGAGCCTTTTGGCGACGTCCTCTGGTCTAGCACCGTTTTGAGACGTGGCTCAACAAAACGCGGTCCCTGGTGTGGAACAATCACTTTCAAAGACAATGCATCATCATCATACGATCAGAGTGCGTTTTTTGTTGCGTGCATTCTGACCACGAGCATTGTGGTTAACGCAGACACGAATGCTTGTAAACATTGGTTTCAGTTTGGTGTTTAAACATCTTAACGCAGCCGTTTTGTTGACAGAAGAAACGTGGGAAAACCTAATAATAGGGTCTTCCACCTTTTATCTGGCACCAAAACTGATTTTTTTTTTGTTACAAGGATTCATGTTACTGCATTAACCACAATACCTGCAGTCAAAATGCAAACAAAAAACACACACACTATGATAATATATGTGGCATTGTCCTTGAAACTGATTGGTCCACACCAAGGGAAAGCCGTCCCCTTGGTGTGGACCAATCAGTTTCAAGGACAATAAATATATTATCATAGTATGTTTTTGGTTTAACACGTAGGCTTTCGCGACCAATATTATTCATAATAAAGGTTTTTGGGTTAGATCGCGTTTATTTATAAATGTGTCGTAACCCTCCACCACCCGACACGGCCAATCAGCAAAAAAAGTGTCACGTTGACAAAAGACAAATAGTTCACTACTTTAGCCCACAGGTGTGTTGAAGAGTGAATCCACAACATTTACAGTTTGAGTACGACGTTTCGCTGGTAAATACATCCGAATTGCCCGATGATGCTGGATGTATTTACCAGCGAAACGTCGTACTCAAACTGTAAATGTGGATTCACTCTTCAACACACCGGTGGGCTAAAGTAGTAAATTATTTGTCTTTTGTCAACGTGACACTTTTTTGCTGATTGGCCGTGTCGGGTGGTGGAAGGTTACGACACATTTATAAATAAACGCGATCTAACCCACACACCTTTATTATCATAGTATGTTTTTTTGTTTGCATTTTGACTGCAGGTACTGTGGTTAATGCAGTGACATGAATTCTCTGTAAAAAAAGGCTTCAGTTTTGTTGCCAGAAAAAAAGGGGAAAACCCCTATTATTATTATTATATTTTGGTACTGGCAAAGGAGGTCTAAATGATGGAAAACAAAAACCTCTTAGAGTTTGTAATCTTTCATTTGTGCATCATCGGCTATCAGCCGCACCTGCATCTGCTGCTGCCACGGTTGGTGCAGTGGCTGATGCGGTGTAGGGGATCTTCTCTCCTGAGCATATTGGCACCACAAGATAACGTGGGAACACATGAGCAAATGTGCTGTGCACACCTACCATGGATCGCGATGACGACGATGATGATGCGCTACACTATACACTACACTATACACTACACTGCAAGATAATCAAACGAATAAAAGACATGCCTCTGTCAGCAAAAAAACTGTTCACGATCGAAACCATAATGATGGCAAATCAAGTGCAGGAAACACAAGTGAAGGACATAAATGCAGCGCCATGCTTTTCCCTCGCTTTGGATGAGTCAACGGACGTAAGTCATTTATCCCATTTCGATTTAAAGCTTTCGTGACTGCAATGATTCATATTCTTTGGTTCTTTCGGTAAAGTCACCACCACGTAGAATGAGAATAAAATAATAAATTGATAAAATAAAATAACACAATAATATTCTCACGACACTGTCCTACCAGACAGTCTCGTCCCTTCACCTGATGAAGACCGCTTGTGTTGTGGCCGAAACGTCGTGAGAATATTATTGTGTTATTTTATTTGATCAATTTATTATTTTATTCTCATTCTACGTGGTGGTGACTTTACCGAAAGAACCAAAGAAGGGGAGGATTTATTCAAGTCTTTCATTGAGTTCGCCAAAGGGAAAAAAATCTACCGATGGAGAAGCTTATTTCGGTGTGTACTGATGGTGCTGCGTGCATGGTGGGGGAAAACAGAGGATTTGTAGCGCTTCTTCGTCAACGTGACAAAACGACCAACCCTAAGTCTTCACTGCATTCTACATCAAGAGGCGCTTTGTGCTCAAATGTGTGGCGAGCAGATTGGCGAGGTGATGCCACTGGTCATTCGGGTGGTCTACTTTATTGTTGCCCGAGCTTTCAATGATAAAACGCTGCCGGATGAAGTTGGGAATCGTTATCCCGGTCTGCTTTTGCACAGCAAATGTGCGTTGGTTGTCAAGAGGGTAGGTCCTCAGCCGTTTCGCGGCTTGCCTGAGCGAAATCCGGACTTTTCTTGAAATGAAAGATGTCGAGCATCCGGAGCTAGCTAACACTGAGTGGCTCCTGAAGTTTTACTAAATTTTGATTTAAAGCTTTCGTGACTGCAGTAATTCATATTCTTAGCTCTTTCGGTAAAGTCACGTTGAAGGGAAACTATAAAATAATAAAATATATATAAAACAATAAAAATTCTCACGACGTTTCGACCATAACACAAGCGGTCATCATCAGGTGTGAAAACCCAACGGCAAAAAACATTTGAAAGAAGTTTTTATTTATTTATTTTTCAACGGTGTATTTATAAAAAAAAACGTTAGCACCACGGGCAGCGATTTGGCAGTTTGTTTAGAAGGACTAGTCCATCTATGTTCTGAAAAGAGGAGGGGGGAGACGAAAAATTTAATGTATGCTGTCTGAAAGCCACCGTAAGCGTGAACAATCAATTAAGACCTGAAATGGTTTATCAAATCCTTCCAATGATTGCTAAGCCAGAATCCATCTTCTCGGTTCAAATTGTCTCTGTGCTTGTATATGTGGATAGCCTCATGAACGAATCTCTCATGGTAGCCAGATGGCTTACAGAGAACCTCTGTCTTGGAGAAGTCAATGTCATGTGAGCCTACTGAATTATAACAATGATCTGCCACGGCCTAGGTGTTGTCCTACCGTGTTTAAGGTCTGCTTTGTGTTCTCGAATGCGGTCCGAGACATGGCGTTTGGTTTCTCTGATGTAACTACTACCACAGAGGCAACTTAGTTTGTAGACACCAGGGTACTGTATGTCCGGAATCACATCTTTTACAGACGGAACCAGATCACGGATTTTATGTAATGTGTTGAAACGGACCTGGATCTTGTGTTTATTCAAGATTTTGGAGATCTTTTTTGTGATCCCCGCATGACTGGACATCTGAACCAGCTCAATGTGAAAATGCAAGGCATTGTAAATACAGTCTTATCGCTTCAACAAGCAGTGTTTGCATTTGAAAACAAGCTGGAACTCTTCATCGTGGATATTGAAACAGGTCGTTTACTGCACTTTGAAAAACTGAGAGAATCTAAAGATGCGTGCACAGCAAGTGACCCCGTTCAACATTTTGATCTCCAGCAGCTAGCTGGCTTCACATCTCATCACCAGCAGTCATTCAAAGCACGCTTTGGAGAATGTCCGTGAGCACACTCCGTCTTTTCAAGTTCATCACTCATCCACACGAGTGTGCGGTGGACAAAGCCGACCTGAGTTACATGCCTGGTGTCTCCATCAGAGATTTTGAGCTGGAAGTTGTTGACCTGAAGGCCTCAGACATGTGGGTGAATAAGTTCAAGTCACTGAATGAAGATTTGGAAAGACTTGAACGACAGCAAAGCAGAGCTGGCGACCAATCACAAGTGGACAGAAATGAAAAAAAACTTCAACCCGCAGACCAGCTGATTGTCAAAACATGAAACGCGCTTCCTGTCACATACCACACACTGCAGCGTCTGTAGCATTGCTGTATTGACCATGTTTGGTTCTACGTATTCATGTGAGCAGTCGTTCTCACATCTAAAAAAACAACATCAAGACCAACCTACGATCCCGTTTAACGGATGAAAGCCTCAACGCCTGCATGAAGCTTAACCTCACCACGTATCAACCGGACTACAAAGCCATCAGCAAAACCATGCAGCGCCAGAAGTCGCATTAATGGAAAGATTTTATTTATTATTGGTTGTTGGTATAACAACGTTATTAAAAAGTATACATTCAGAGACTTATTATATTCTAAAATTGGTGGTCTTAGTTAAAAATACACGCAAATTTATTTTAAAATGTGGCTTTCATGGCTCTCTCAGCCAAAAAGGTTCCCGACCCCTGCACTACACTATACACTACACTATACACTACACTATTATACACTACACTATACACTACACTATTATACACTACACACACTATTATACACACTATACACTATACTATACACTACACTATATACTAGTGCTGTACTAGTATACTACACTATACACTACACTATACACTAGTGCTGTACTAGTATACTACACTATACACTACACTATACACTAGTGCTGTACTAGTATACTACAATATACACTACACTATACACTACACTACTACACAATACACTATACACTAGTGCTGTACTAGTATACTCCACTATGCACTACACTATACACTAAACTATACACTACACTATACACTACACTATACACTACAAATCAAGATTGAACTACGGGACTATCTGCCCATGGGTCGTGATGATGATGTTGATGATGTTGATGATGATGATGTTGATGATGTTGATGTTGATGATGTTGATGATGTTGATGTTGTTGATGTTGATGATGTTGATGATGATGATGTTGATGATGTTGATGATGATGTTGATGATGTTGATGATGATGTTGATGATGTTGATGATGATGTTGATGATGTTGTTGATGTTGATGATGATGATGTTGATGATGTTGATGATGATGTTGATGTTGTTGATGTTGATGATGTTGATGATGTTGATGATGATGATGTTGATGATGTTGATGGACAGTGAGAGGGAGGGAGGCGCCCGGGGGGACGCTGGGTGACTTGAGGAATGTGGTTCTTCTTGGTAAAATAATAATAAATAATAATAAAGGTCGCTGTTGATGTTCTCAAGAATCACCGGAAGTGGTTAGTGGTGGTGGTTGTGGTGGGTGGTGGTTGTGGTGGTTGTTGTTGGACTGGGCGAGCGAGCGTGGCTGAGCGGTAATGTCGGGACACTTTCTCGCGAGCCACTCCCCCTCCCCACTAATCCACACGCACGCACCTGCTCACAAAGCTAAAGGTATCCCGCCTCCCCCAGGTAGCCTTTAACAGACGGCCACTGCCGGCCTGGTCAAGTGCTGTTAGCAGTAGCAGCACCACGCAGTAGCTACGTACGGTGCGAAAGAAGTTCAACATATAGACACGACATGACTACACTATACACTACATACTACACTACACTATACACTACATACTACACTATGAACTACAATATACACTACACTATACACTACATACTACACTATACTGTACACTACATACTACACTATAAACTACAATATACACTACACTATACACTACATACTACACTATAAACTACAATATACACTACACTATACACTACATACTGCACTACACTATACACTACAAAATACACTTCACTATACACTACACTACTATACACTATACTACTATACACTACATAGTACACTATACAGGACTATACACTACACTGCTATACACTACACGATACACTACATATGTAGTAACTAATACGTATGTAGTAACTAATACATATGTAGTAGCTACCACACTATCTCTCGTCACTTTATCTCTCGTCACTTTATCTCTCTCTCTCTCTCTCAAGTAGTCGTGCCGAGTTCCAGATGCGATTCGCGGGCAGCAAATATTGTGGTCATCAAGCCCGTGAACAGCGAAGTAAAACAGCATCGCAAACACATCAGCAGCAGCAGCAGAGATTGAAGACCAACAACGCGGCTTAATGCAAACTCAGCTTTTTTATTTTTGTACAAATGCCACCCCCCGCTGCCCTACCCTCCCAAAACATCCGGATATTAAAATCTACACGAGAATAGACGTGAGCCTCAGAGCTTGAGGAGCCCCCCAGAGTCTCAGAGCCCCCCAGAGCCTCAGAGCCCCCCAGTCTCAGAGCTTGAGGAGCCCCCCAGAGTCTCAGAGCCCCCCAGAGTCTCAGAGCCCCCCAGAGTCTCAGAGCTTGAGGAGCCCTCCAGAGTCTCAGAGCCCCCCAGAGCCCCCCAGAGTCTCAGAGCCCCCCAGAGCCTCAGAGCCCCCCAGAGTCTCAGAGCCCCCCAGAGTCTCAGAGCTTGAGGAGCCCCCCAGAGTCTCAGAGTCCCCCAGAGTCCCAGAGCTCCCCAGAGCCTCAGAGCCCCCCAGAGTCTCAGAGCCCCTCAGAGTCTCAGAGCCCCCCAGAGTCTCAGAGCTTGAGGAGTCCCCGAGAGTCTCAGAGCCCCCCAGAGTCTCAGAGCCCCCCAGAGTCTCAGAGCTTGAGGAGTCCCCCAGAGTCTCAAAGCCCCTCAGAGTCTCAGAGCCCCTCAGAGTTTCAGAGCCCCCCAGCGTCTCAGAGCCCCCCAGAGTCTCAGAGCTTGAGGCGCCCCCCAGAGTCTCAGAGCCCCTCAGAGTCTCAGAGCCCCCCCCCCCAGAATCTCAGAGCATGAGCAGCACCCACCCCCAATGTCCCCCCCCCCCCCCCCCCCCCACAACCCCCCCCCCCCCCACTACCCCCCCCAGGGCATCTCAGTCCCAGAGCTTGATGAGGCCGTCCCAGCCGCAGGTGAGCACCTTGGATGTCTCGTGCGGGTGCCAGATGGCGCCGATGCACACCGAGTCGTGAGCACGCAGGCGGGAGTACAGCTTGGTGCTCTTCCAGTCCCACACGTTGAGGCGGCCGTCCGCGTCGCCAGAGATCACGTAGCTGCCACGCCGCGGCGGGGGAGGGAGGTTCACCCACACACTCAATCACTCACTCAGACACACACACTCACTCACTCAGACACACTCACTCATACACTCATAGACTCACTCACACACTCACACAGCCACACTCACTCACACTCACACACTCACTCACTCAACCAGCCACTCACTCACTCATACACTCACTCACTCACACACTCACACTCACTCACTCATACACCCACACACTCACTCACTCAGCCACACACACTCACACTCACTCACTCACACACTCACTCACTCACTCACACACACTCTCTCACTCATAGACTCACTCACTCATACACACACTCACTCACACTCACTCACACACTCACTCATAGACTCACACACTCACTCACACACTCACACACTCATACACACACACACTCACTCATAGACTCACACACTCACACACTCACTCACACACACTCTCTCACTCATAGACTCACTCACTCATACACACACTCACTCACACTCACTCACACACACTCATACACACACTCACTCACACACTCACTCATACACTCACACACTCACTCACACACTCACACACTCAACCAGCCACTCAACCAGCCACTCACACACTCACTCACACACTCACACACTCACACATACACCACTCACACACTCACACACTCACTCACACTCACTCACTCAACCAGTCACTCAACCAGCCACTCACTCACTCACTCATACACTCACTCACTCACACACTCACACTCACTCACTCACTCATACACTCACACACTCACTCATACACTCACTCACACTCACTCACACACTCACTCACTCAGCCACACACACTCACTCATAGACTCACACACTCACTCACACACTCACTCACACTCACTCACACACTCACTCACACACTCACTCATACACTCACTCACACACACTCTCACTCAACCAGTAACTCAACCAGCCACTCACTCACTCATACACTCACTCACACACTCACACACACACTCACTCACACTCACTCACACTCACTCACTCATACACTCACACACTCACTCACACACTCACTCACACACACTCACTCACACACTCACTCACACACACACACTCACACACTCATACACTCACACAATCACTCACACACTCACTCACACACACACTCACTCACACTCACTCATACACTCACACACTCACTCACTCACACAATCACTCACACTCACACACTCACTCATACACTCACACACTCACACACTCACTCACACACACACACTCACTCACTCATACACTCACTCATACACTCACTCACACTCACTCACACACTCACTCACTCATAGACTCACACACTCACTCACACACTCACACAGCCACACTCACTCACTCACTCACACACACACACTCACACACTCATACACTCACACAATCACTCACACACTCACTCACACTCACTCACTCATACACTCACACAATCACTCACACACTCACACTCACTCACTCACACACTCAACCAGCCACTCAACCAGCCACTCACACACTCAGCCACTCACACACACACTCACACACTCACACTCACTCATACACTCACACACTCACTCACACTCACTCATACAATCACTCACACTCACACACTCACACTCACTCATACACTCACTCACACTCACTCACTCATACACTCACTCACTCACTAACAAACTCACTCACTCACTCACACTCACTCATACACTCACACACTCACACACTCACTCACACACACACTCACTCACTCATACACTCACACAATCACTCACACACTCACTCACTCACACACACACTCACTCACACTCACTCACTCATACACTCACTCATACACTCACACAATCACTCACACACTCACTCACACACTCACTCACTCATACACTCACACACTCACTCACTCATACACTCACACACTCACTCACACACTCACTCACACACTCACTCACACACACACTCACTCACACACTCACACACTCGCACTCACTCACTCACACACTCACACTCACACACTCACTCACTCATACACTCACACACTCACTCACACACTCACACACTCACTCATACACTCACACACTCACACACTCACTCACTCACACTCACTAACTCATACACACACTCAACCAGCCACTCAACCAGCCACTCACACACTCAGCCACTCACACACTCAGCCACTCACACACTCAGCCACTCACACACACACTCACACACTCACACTCACTCATACACTCACACACTCACACACACTCACTCACACACTCACTCACTCATACACTCACTCACACACTCACTCAACCAGCCACTCAACCAGCCACTCACTCACTCACACACTCAAACAGCCACTCACTCACACACTCACAAACACACTCACTCAAACAGCCACTCGCTCACCCACTCACTCACCCACTCAACCAGCCACCCACTCACTCACTCACACACTCACTCACTCACACACTCACTCACACACTCACTCACTCAACCAGCCACTCACCCACTCACTCACACACTCACTCACTCACACACTCACAAACACACTCACACACTCACTCACTCAAACAGCCACTCACTCAAACAGCCACTCACTCACACACTCACACACTCACTCACAAACACACTCACCCACTCAACCAGCCACTCACTCACACACTCACACACTCACTCACACACTCACCCACTCACTCACCCAATCACTCACTCACACACTCACTCACTCACACACTCACACACTCACCCACCTCACTCACACACTCACCCACTCACACACTCACCCACCTCACTCACACACTCACCCACTCACTCACCCACTGACACACCCGCCATTCGCCACTAAGTGGCGGTGACGTCACCACGACGCTTGTGCCAGGCTATGTGCACCCTGAGGCCACGTGAAGTGTCGAACGCCCGCTGACAGGAGGTCACGGGGCAGACCCAGGTACCACGGGTCGACTGACTAAGATGATTGGCTGATGCACCACCTGTGCCCCCTACTGTGCCAACCTGATGTGTTTTAGCCACCCGGCGCTCCGCTCGTTGTTGTGAGCGTCGCTCCTCTGCCCTCCATTGTTGTTGGAGGGCGACTGCCTCCAACTGCCCAGTAGCGTCCTTCACGAGCCTCCTCCACAGAGGCCGATCTTGACACCGCTGGTACCAGTCATCGGCAAGCCCACTCAGCTCCACGTTCTCCTGTACCACATCACTCCATCTCTTCTCTAGCCCGTGCCGCGCCCGTTTAGCCCCCTCGATCCGGCCGAACAAAAGCTGTTTCGGCATGCGGTGGCTGGGCATGCGGGCTACATGACCCAGCCATCGCAGCCTTGCCTGCCGGAGGAGCCCACCGATGGGACCTTGCCCAGATCTTTAAAGGATTTGTGAGCTCCTCACACAATCCAGCCTGGTTAAACCCAGGATGGATCGTAGGCAGGCCAGCCTAAATGTTTCTAACCGGCGAAGATGTTCCATTAGGGGAGTCCACGTTTCGCAAGCGTAGAGAAGGGAGGGAATGACCGTGGCCGAGAAGACCCGAAGCTTCGTGCGGAGCGACAGACCAGGTAGCTTCCACACAGCGTTACGCAACCGATGAAAAGATATTGCCGCTCGACTGATTCGGAGTGAGACCTCTGCTGTTAAACTGGAGCCAGTCATGAGCACACTACCCAGGTATGGGAAACTCGCCACTCTCTCCACAACTGCCCCATCACCGATTCGGAGTTGTGGGGGTGGAGTGTCCGATGGTACAAAATACCCAGGCAGGTGCTTAGTTTTGGTGGGGCTGATGGTAAGGCCCCATCTCTTAGTGGCACGCTCCAGTCTCAGCAGCAGCGTCCCCAACTCCTACGCTGAATGAGCAGCTATTACCAAATCATCGGCATACATAACGTGGTTGACCAATAGGGAGCCATCCCTTGACCGCACCCGGGCATCGATCAGCCTCCCATTGCACCTGCACCAGATGGAGATTCCTCCTAAACAACTATGAAAGGCTTCTCGAAATACATGTTCCAAAAAGGATGTTAAACAACGTGGGAACCAGAGGACATCCCTGTCGCACCCCAAGGTGAACAGGGAATGGCTCTGACTCCCAGCCATGTAGGTTTACCCGGGCCCGCTCACCATCATTAAGGTCCTGAATGATTGTGAGCAGAGAGTCAGGGACTCCAAAAATACGAAGAGCAACCCAGAGCTCAGGCCTACTGATGGTATCAAAGGCCTTGACCAGGTCAGTAAAGCAAAAATGTAAGTCCTGTTGGAATGTCCTACACCTCTGCTGTAGCAGACAGAAAATATGGCATCTGTGCGGGACCGCCCTTTCCTGAAACCACATTGGGGCTCCGCAAGCCTCTCCTCAGCGTGCCTGGCAAGGCGATGTTGAATAATCCTTGCCAGGAACTTTCCTGGCACACTGAGGAGTGAGATGCCCCTGTAGTTGTTACAGTCTGTGCGGTCCCCCTTCTTAAAGAGGGGGACCACCAGGGCATCCTTCCAATCCTGCGGAACCCGTCCAGTGGTCCAGACTGTTGTTATGATGTCATATAGGGCAGTCTGTGCACAAACGCCACCCTCCCTCAGCATTTCGCTTGGGAGATCATCTCTGCCCGCTGCCTTTCCTGGTCTCAGACTCCGGATCGCCTTCAGTACTTCCTCAGGAGATGGCACCTCGGCCAGCCACTCACACGGGGTGACTTCTTCTTCCAATGTACGCGAGCGATGATGAAATTCTCGCTTGCGACTTTCATCAGCTAGCCGAGACCAGGCCGCCGTGGGTTTGACTGGGGTCCTGGGCGTACACCCGCCACCGGAGTGGAAGGATGGCAGGCGCGTCGTACAGATGACAAGTCGATGGTCAGTGGGCAGATCAGCTCCATGAGGGGTAGAGGCGATGGCATTGGTCTCCCCTCAATGGCGCTGCTCAAATCTACGACAGCGTTACCGTCTGGCACCAGCGAGGAGGTACGTACACACACACACGTACACACACACACGTACACACACACACGTACACACACACACGTACACACACACACGTACACACACGTACGCACACACGTACACACACACACGTACACACACGTACACACACGTACACACACACGTACACACACACACGTACACACACACACGTACACACACACACGTACACACACACACGTACACACACGTACACACACACGTACACACACACACGTACACACACGTACACACACGTACACACGTACACACACGTACACACACGTACACACGTACACACACACGTACACACACACACACACGTACACACGTACACACACACATGTACACACACGTACACACACACGTACACACACGTACACACACACGCACACACGTACACACGTACACACACACACGTACACACGTACACACACACACGTACACACACACGTAAACACACACACGTACACACACACACGTACACACACACACGTACACACGCACACGTACACACACACACACACGTACACACACACACATACACACACACACACACACGCACGTACACACACACACGCACGTACACACACACGTCCACACACACACACACACGTACATACACACGTGCACACACGCACGTGCACACACACGTACATACGCACACACACGTACACACACACACGTACACACATACACACACACATGTACACACGTACACACATGTACATACACACACACGCCCGTACACACACACATACACACATCCACACACACACACGTACACACACACGCACATACACACGTGCACACACGCACGTGCACACATACACGTTCATACACACGTACACACACACACACGTACATACACAAGTCCACACACACGCACGTACACACACAAGTACATACACACACGCACACATGCACACACACACGTACGTACACACGTTTGCACGCACACACACACGTTACACACGTACACACACACGCACACACACACACACGTACACACACACACACAAGTACAGACACACACACGCACACACGCGCACACACACGTACATACACACGTGTGCACGCACACACACACACGTACACACACACGTACGCATGTACACACACACAAGTACAGACACACACACGCACACACGCACACACGCACACACACACCTACATACACACGTGTGCATGCACACACACACAAACGCGTGTACACACACACGTACACACACACACGTACACACACACACGCGCGCGTGTACACACACACGTACACACACACACGTACACACACACACGTACACACACACACGTACACACACGCATGTACACACACACACACGTACACACACGCAGACACACACGTACATACACACGTGTGCACGCACACACACATGCGCGCGTGTACACACACACGTACACACACACACACGTACACACGGAGTCGCGATCACACGACCTCACCTCATGTCCGGAGAGAACCCGACCTGGCAGGCGTAGCCAGCGACCATGTGCCCCTTGAAGACCTTCTTCTTGTTGAGGCGGAAGCGATTGTGGGCACCGAACACCAGGATCTGGTTGTCCATCGACTGGCAGCCCAGCCACTTGCCTGCACACACCGTGGGGACGGCAGGGTGGTGAGCGGGCAGGGTGGTGAGCGGGCAGGGTGGTGAGCGGGCAGGGTGGTGAGTGAGCAGGTGAGTGAGCAGGGTGGTGAGTGAGTGAGCAGGGTGGTGAGTGAGTGAGCTGGGTGGTGAGTGGGCAGGGTGGTGAGCGGGCAGGGTGGTGAGCGGGCAGGGTGGTGAGCGAGCGGGGTGAGTTAGCAGGGTGGTGAGTGAGTGAGTGAGCAGGGTGAGTGAGTGAGTTAGCAGGGTGGTGAGTGAGTGAGTGAGCAGGGTGAGTGAGTGAGTTAGCAGGGTGGTGAGTGAGTGAGTGAGCAGGGTGAGTGAGTGAGTTAGCAGGGTGGTGAGTGGGCAGGGTGGTGAGCGAGCAGGGTGGTGAGTGGGCAGGGTGGTGAGTGAGAAGGGTGGTGAGTGAGAAGGGTGGTGAGTGAGTGAGCAGGGTGAGTGGGCAGGGTGGTGAGTGAGTGAGTGAGCAGGGTGGTGAGTGAGTGAGTAGGGTGGTGAGTGAGCTGGGTGGTGAGTGAGCGGGTGAGTGAGCAGGGTGGTGAGTGAGCTGGGTGAGTGAGTGAGCAGGGTGGTGAGTGAGTGAGCTGGGTGAGTGAGTGATCAGGGTGGTGAGTGAGTGAGTGAGCAGGGTGGTGAGTGAGCTGGGTGGTGAGCGAGCAGGGTGGTGAGTGGGCAGGGTGGTGAGTGAGAAGGGTGGTGAGTGAGCAGGTGAGTGAGCAGGGTGGTGAGTGAGCAGGGTGGTGAGTGAGTGAGCAGGGTGGTGAGCGAGCAGGGTGGTGAGTGAGCAGGGTGGTGAGTGAGCAGGGTGAGTGGGCAGGGTGGTGAGTGAGTGAGCTGGGTGAGTGAGCAGGGTGGAGATGGTGAGTGAGTGAGTGGGCAGGGTGGTGAGTGAGCAGGGTGGTGAGTGAGCAGGGTGGTGAGCGAGCAGGGTGGTGAGTGAGCAGGGTGGTGAGTGAG